AAATATACTCTTTGAAAGAAGTATGTCTGTTGAAGGGGGTTTGTGAAAGCATTCTTCCTGTGTCAGTATGTGAGGCTGCCTACTCAGTAACCCATCATTGAACACATTTAAAGCCCAATTATTTCCTGATGGATGGTTGGGATTGATGCCTTTCTAACGCTGCTTGGGTTGTATAGTTGTTTGGACTTCTAACATGTTTTGGGGTTCTGTTTTGCAGATAGGAGGGTGATGGATGCCATCTCTCGTTCCCAGCTTTACCTGGATGACCTCTTTTCTGACTACTATGACAAACCTCTCAGCATGACTGACATTTCGCTCAAGGAGGGGACTCACATCCGAGTGAACTTACTAAACCACAACATTCCTAAGGGGCCCTGCATACTCTGCGGGATGGGGAACTTGAAAAGGGAGACCGTTTATGGCTGCTTTCAGTGTTCAGTGGATGGAGTGAAGTATGTGCGGCTTCATGCAGTCCCTTGTTTTGATATTTGGCACAAAAGAATGAAATAAAAGGGAAAGGGAATAAGCATTGTTGGTGTGTTTTTGTTTGTTTGCTTGGTTTTCGGAAACAGGGTTTCTCTGTGTAGCCCTGGCTGTCTTGGAACTTGCTCTGTAGACCAGGCTGGCCTCAAACTCATAGAGAAACACCTGCTTTTACCTCATGGGTGTGGGATTAAAGGTGTGAGCCACCATGTCCAGCTCCATTTGTTGGTGTTTTATGGACCACTGTTCCACAAGCCTTCCTTAAATTGTTTAGGTTTGCTTGGATGTTTTTGTTTATTTGTTTGTTTTTTGTTTTTAAAGCAGAAGGCCTTTTAGGTAGTGTTTATCACCTGTTGAAGTGGAGACGATGATACCATTGTCTTCCTCAAAGATTTTATGAGGATTGATAACACGGCTTTTATAAAACAAAACTTAATTACAAAATTCAAAGAGAAGCACTCTCTCACAAATTTATCCATTTCTTCATAATCATTTGGGAATCAGTGTGTCATTTTTAAGTAACTTTCTATATTTAATCATTTTAATTCAACAGTTGAAGATGACACATGGGCACAAGTGGTTACTTTGGGGCCCTTTAGGGTCCTGGGTTTGGTAAGAGGAGAAAAAAATGTTAATAATTTAATATATTCCTAAATGTTTAATTGTGGTATCAGATTAAAACCACTGAGCTTAGCATGGGGCTCTGTGCACAATTAACAGTGTAACTGGCAGTGGTAATGGACTCCCACTCTGCCTACTAATTTTGCTTTGTGATGGGTGCTGCCACCTTTGAGGAAAACAGGACAGGCCTATGTCTTTGGACATGTTTAATGAGTTCAGTATATTTTGTTCTCAAATTTCTTTTTGGGGGTTAGCTAGGGCCTTGCTCTGTCATCAAAGCTGGTCTTAAAAAGCTACCTCAACCTCAGGAATAGGTGTATTATATAAGTGTATGTGGGCCTGGATCTTTTTCATCTATTTTCCAAGATAACTGAAATTTTCAGATACTGACAGCTAAGTAATTATCATTTATTAAAATTGTAAAAGTATTTTAAAATTATAGATTAAGTGAATAAAAGTGTTCACTGTTAGATTCACCCAAAGGCATAAAACAATCGTGGATACAGAACATGGCACACTGCCCATATGTAGAGTGGGTAATGATTTATATTTAAATTGTTATTTGAAAGATATGTTTTTGGGTACATGAATTCATTTAACATATGTACTTTTCCTTTCTTCTCTCTCTCTCTTTTTTTTTTTTTTTTTTTTTGAGACAGATTCTCTGTTTAACAGCCCTGGCTGTCCTGGAACTCACTTTGTACGTCAGACTGGACTTGAACTCACAGAGATCCACTTGCCTCTGCCTCCCAAGCGCTAGGATCAAAGGTGTGTGCCACCACTGCCTGGCCTCCTTTCTTTTCTTTTAAATAGAGTCCCATGAAGTCCAGGATGTTCTTGAACTCCCTATGCAGCCCAGGGTGATATTGAATGCCTCATTTTCCTGTCTCTACCTCTGAGTGCTGGTATTACAGGTGCCTGTCACTACTTCCAGATTGTATGGTGCTGAGATTGAACTTGGGTCTCCAAGCATGCTAGGCAAGCACCATTAACTGAGCCACCACATCTCCAGCTAATATATCCTTAACTTTTAAAAACAAGTTTGGAAGTACTTTTTATAGGCTAAGTAAAGTAGTTTATGCATACAATCCCAGTATTCAGGGAGCGGAGGCAGGAGGATTGAGAAGTTTGACACCAGGCTAGGCTGTATGAGTTCTAGGCAAGCTTGGACTATCCCAGCAGGGTATGGGGGTCCTTGGGACAAGTGTTTTCGAAGAGTAGGTGGGTAAGGATTCAGTGGTGACAAACAAACAAACACAGAGGCAGTTTGAATCTGAGTGTATTTTGTAGCCTTTAAGCAAGGCTTTTTGTCAGGATAAATAGCTTCACAGCTATTTGTGTTTATTGAAGCAAATCCAGATAGAATAACATCATTGTTAGGCACAATAACATACAACTTAAAAGGCTAACAAAAAATAAGAAAATCATTCAAGGCTAACCACAACTAACCTCCTATTTTCTAAGGTTGGGTTAATAAATTTTTATGGTCAGTTATTGTTTAACATTTGTTGCTGAGCTCTTGAGACTCTTTGAAATATTGAGCTAGTCTGACATTTTCCTATCAAAAGGCTTTCTTTACCAAATGTTTAAATCTACTCTCAATTACACATGTACAGCCATATGAAATTTTATTGTTGGGAAAGTTTTGATCAATACTTTTTGTACTTATGTGAATGACATGAATGATTTGAAAAGTGCTGGTTTTCCTGGAGTCTAGGTCACGGTTAGTGACCACGTCTCAGGGGATGGTTTCTCATTTGTATCTTTTGTTTAAAATGTCAACATAGGCTCTCAGAAACATTTCGTTAATACGAGAAAAGAAGACCACAGATTGCCATGAGAACTACGGCTCAATACTTTTCTCTGGCTGAGAGTTCCACAACCGGTTCCAGGAGACCTCCTTCTTTTGAAGTTATTGCCTCAGTCCATGGGACTTGTCACACAGAAGCTACTGGATTTGGTGTGGCACCTGGGCTATTATAGTAAGGCCCAGTCTCATAAAAAGCAAAAGCAAAAGCAAAAACAAACAAAAAAGCCCATGCAGATACCTTGTATGATCAATGGTGGGCTAGAAAGGGTGCTCACATATTTACTTAGTTTACTCTTCATGCACACTGAGGGAAGTAAACTGGTAGAAGTAGTCTTGGTGATTGGGAAAGTGTTAGAAAGTTAAGAAAAGGTAGTGGAGGTGTCAAATTTTGTCTGCACTTTATTTTAGATAAAGTTTCTGCTCTAATCTCACAATCAGAGTGCTGAGGCAGGAGGAGTACAGTCTGCGCCCAGCTTGGACTACATAGCAAGACCTTATGTCAAATGAGAAAGAAAAAAGACAGAAATGTTGACAACATATCTGAGAGTTAAGAATAAAGGAAGTTTGCAAAGAACACATTTCAGGCAACAGAAAAGTTTTATTCTGAGTTCACTTATTTCAGCCAGAGCTAGCCTGCTTGACCAATGTAGGAAGCATCTAGATCTTCACATGCTCTAAGTTCCCTTCCTTTGGCAACACAAAATCCAGCATCTCTTCTTTACTCTCAACAAGTTGGACCACATGACTGTTCTGACCATGATTGGGAACTGGCATAACAAGGTGTCTTAGGATTTCTATTGCTATGAAGAGACACCATGACCACTGGAAAACATTTAATTGGGGTGGCTTGTTTACAGTTGCAAAAGTTCAGTCCATTATCATCATGGCAGGAGCATGGTGGAGTGCTGGCAGACATGGCACTGGCTACATCTTGATCAAAAGGCAACAGGAAGTGGACTGTGACACTGGGCCAAGCTTAAGCAAAGGAGACCTCAAAGCCTGCCCCCACAGTGACACACTTCCTCCAACAAGGCCACACTTCCCAACAGTGCCACTCCCTATGGGCTTGGGACCAATTACATTCAAACTACCACACAAGGTATCTCATTTGCAACAAAAATGAAAAGTTCACCTTTTTTTTTTTAAAGCATTCCAGCTTGTAACCATCATTTGCCATTAATAAGAATATTGGAGTGAAGTGATGTCTAGAGAAGGGCAACCAGAAACTAAGAAATCCCATGGAACTGAGAAATGGTTGACAGCAGGGGGTGGGGGTTGTGAGGGTTGGGGAAACTGGAGAGATGATTCAGCGGTCAGGAGAGTGTACCATTGCAAAGGACCATCCATGGTTTGATTTCCAGCACCCACTGTGGGTAGTTCACAATGGCCTGTAGCTCTGGGGAATTACAGCCTCAGGTCTCCATAGACACTTCTAATCATGGATCTGTACACACACACACACACACACACACACACACACACACACACACTAAAGAAATACTTTTTAAAAAGCTGTATATGGTAGACAAGGAGAAGGCAGGTGGAAGAGTAATAATACATTTATAATAGTTCTTAAAGAAGTATATAGTCTGTTATAAGTGATGAGCTTTAGTTTGGCCAAAATTGCACTAAAAAAAGTATGAACTATGTTGAAATTTTTCATGAGTCAGAGCTGTACACAACTGACATCTTTCCACATGAACTTCAAAGGAAGACTTTGTACCAAAGCTTTTTATAACCTACTATCTAGAATATAACATCACAAAAGTCATAAATTAAAAAACATACTTCCTGGTTTCTGAGTATTCTTAGATATGGGGCATTTTAAGAACTAAAATACTTGATCTTTATATACCTCTACTTGCTGTAATTATTAGAGTTGGGAAACACAGTGTATTTTAAAGTGTGTCCATCTATGTCCTGAAGGAGGATGCCACCCGCTGGGATACAGGCCCATTCCATTCCCTGGTGCTGCAATTTATGTTCACAGCAGAAAATCATAGGAAACACAATTACACCTACATATTATCACACTAAAATTATGTTTATTAAAGGAAACAAATACGTTCTCATAAGGGAAAACAGGTAACCACAACCTGGAGAAAAGTAATTTTTTTAAAAAAATCAAAATACAGTAAATTACTAACTAATAAAGAAGTGAAATAAATTTATAGCTCATCATGTTGGTGTACATTGTATTCCTTGGGAGAAATGAAGCCATCTCTATTGTGGTCATTTTTCTTAAAGATATCTTCCAAAACTGCATTCTGATATGACTTGTCACGGGGCTTTGCATCTTTTTCAAAGTCCTTCTGTAAGTAAAGCTCTATCTGGAGGGCCAGAATAAAATGTCATTAATAATAATAATAATAATAATAATAGCATCACAAATGTCTGGTAACTCTGAGAAATGATTATAGTAATGAATAAGTATATGAAGTGATATAAACATTTTTAAATAATGCAATTGCTTATGGGAGGGCCACCTGAAGACCATGGTGGACATGTGGAAGTCAGAGGACAACTTCTGCAAATGGGTTCTCTCTTTCTACCTTGTGGGATCCCTGGACTCAACTTAGGTCATCAGGCTTGGAGCAAGAGAGTTATACACACCTAGAAATCTTGCCAGCCCATTAACATTTTAAAAAGGCATTTCAAAGTTTTAGAGTACCTTTGAAACAGAGTCTCTCTTTGGCCTGGCTAGCCTGGAACTTACTGTGTAGACCAGGCTGACCTCAATCTCACCAAGATCTGCTTGCCTCTGCCTCCCAAATGTTGGTATTAAAGACATATGCTACCATGCCCAGCCAAGAAATATTTTTGTTTTTAATTTTTAAAGCGATTTCTGAAGAGAAATGGGTATTCAAATTAGCTGTCCCTGGGGTTATAGACTGGTAGCACTAAACACATTGAATTTCCCTGAAACTAAATACTTTTTAATAATCCACTGTTCATATTAGGTAAGGCAAACACAATCTTGTGGATTCCAATCATTTAATAAAAATCGCATTAGCATTTCTGTCTCTGGAACCAATGAATTTACTGTCAACCAAGTCAACCAAGGACTTCTTTGTCCCAATCCATTCTTCTGTTTCAACTTGGTTGACTTGGTTGGCCCTCCCATAAGCAATGCTGGTCCTCTGCATCTCTGGTTCTGAGCCATCTCTCTAGCCCCATGACTTTAATTTGTGCTAATAATGGGCTCTACACTACTTTCATTTGGTAATTTAACAGCGTATCCCACTCCCACCTTATTTAAACTGAAGAAACAATCTAGCAAATCTTTCTGATCATTTAAGCAAGGAAGTTTCAGTTAGTTTATGTTTCAAATCTGGGCTTCCACAAGTATTGATTTTGCATGGTCTTCAACAAAACTTTAACCTTTCCCAACACTAGGCATATCATCTGTAAAAGGAGGGAAGTATCTATACTATAGGATTGTTAACAGGGTCAATGTCAATAGATGGCAACTATTTGATCCAACTGGGCAAAATTCATTCTTAACTATCTGGTGACAACACAGCTGATACCCAATAAGATGCCTGGGAAACTGTAGTTAAACAGATCATATTTTGTATTTCCTGTACTTTTATTTTTCAGAAAAGAATCGGAGACACCCTAATGTCTAGGGGTATTCACAGTGCAGAAGGAACCACTGGGTTTGGCTGAAGTAACTAATGAATGCTGTGTGCACAGGCTGCTCCCAGGGTGCCACGTGAATCCCTTTACTGCTGCTGCTATTCATTCCAAAGAGGCTGAAGAGGAGTCAAGAGAAGTAACCCTGAAAACAGTTCCCCTTTAAGGGCCCTTTTAAGGCCAGGTGTTCTGTCACGAAAGCTAGCCTCACCCTGGAAGAGAGAACCTCAGAGAGGGACCACCTCCATCAGACTGGCTTGTAGCCAGTCAGTGGGGGCTTTTCTGATTAATGACAGATGTGGGAGGGCCCAGCTCTCTGTGGCTGTGCCGCCCCAGGGCAGGTGGTCCTGGGGTTTATAACACAGCAGGCTGAGAAAGCCACTGGGAACAAGGCAGCAAGCAGTGTTCCCCTGTGGTCTCTGCTTCAGTTCCTGAGTCCAGGTTCCTGTGCTGACTTTCCGCAACAGACTACGGCCCAGGATATGTCAGCCAAAGGAGGTCTTTCCTCTACAAGTTGCTTTCAGGTGTGGACTTCCTCAGAGCTGTAAAAAGCCAAGTGAGACACCTGGCAGATATGCTTCTCTCCGTGCTGGCCAACCAGGAACCTTGGGGGAGAACTTACTGTGAGGCTCCTGGAGGAAGAGCTAAAGTTGGGTGGGAAGAGGGCTGGGGGCCGTGGTGGGGAGATGAAGAAAAATGGGGATTGGAGATGGAGCTTAAGGTCCAGACAGTGCTTGCCTTGTTCTAGGTCCAATCCCCAGTCACAAAACAAACACACACACACACAAACCCAAACCACCACCACCACCACCACCAAAACCCCCCAACAACACAAACAACAACAACAAACCCAGGAAAAGAATGAAAGACTTAGTAGCTAGGGCTGGTGGCTTCTGCCTGTAATTCTAGCACTTGGGGGAGGCAAGAGGACTCCCACAATTTCAAGACCAGCCTGGACTCCATCCTAAGTCCCTGAAATAGAAAAAGGACTATGTGAAATAAAGGCTCACCTGCATCATTACCTACTTAGGTGGTGTTTCACAATTCTAACTGCCTCTAAACAAAGGAGCAAGGCAGCCACATTAAGCAGAGACTGTGGGCTTCCCTGAGACATTCAAGAGGGTAGTTCCCTGAAAGGTAGGGAGTGCCCCGGCTCAGAACACAGAGCCAGGCTGCCCAGGGTGCAATCCCTGTTTGTAATTGCAGCTGTTACTCAACAAGACTGTCATCTCCCCATCTACCGGAGATGACAGAAGTGACTGTCATGTAAACTGTGAAGACTAGATACATTCACCCAATTATGGGCTGATGCTGGTATCAGGGTCTAAGAAAGTGTGAAGAATGTATATCATTGTTACACATTTTTATTAGTTCATCTATAGGAGATGGACTCTTAGCTCATGTTTACCAACTTCTTAGCCCACTCAGTTCAAATTCTTGCTAGCTCTTTCACAATCTCAGGTACATCGAGGTCTAGAGATTAAAACTATTTGGGACAAGTCCACACAGTACTGTTGGGAAGACGTCTGTCCCTCTTGTGTCGATGCTGGGAGAACCATGGTAGCTTGGGATTTTTCTTATTTGAATGATTGGTTGATCTGCCAGTATTAGTAATTGAACCCAGGGCCTCAAGGATGTTCAGGCAAGAATTCTACCATTGAACAATATCCTCAGACCCTTTTGCACTTTTTGAGATAGTGTTATAGTAAGTGATCCAGGATACCCTCAAACTCTTTGTAACCCAGGCTGTTTTCCAAGGTACTATCTTATATCAGGCTTGGGAATAACTGAAGCTATGCTATAGGCCTGCATCATGAAGTTTTACCTTGGGATTTTAATGATCTTCCTATATACAGAGAAAAGGGAAAGGGCATTTTCTTCTCAGAGTTTAGAATTTCCAGCAATCAGAGCCAACACTAGGGAAAACTAAGAAGTATCTTCAACACAAATGCCTTTGAGTTATAATGAAAAAAAAAAAAAAAATCAAACCACACACACGAAGTCTGAATTACCTCGGCTTTAGACAGCTGCCTGTCATTGTCTGTGTCTATTTCCTTAAATGTTTCAATGCTCCGTGGTCCTTTGGTCACAGCGTACAGTTCAATCTCAAACATCAGTGTTGCATTAGGTGGAATCTTGCCTTCTGCTAAGGGTTTAAATTTTAACAGTTTGACTTATGTGAAAGTAGCTTTCAGATATTCACTCAGTGGTCACATTAATATCAGGGTAATAGTGCTAAGAAGAACTGCTTTCAAGCCATTGAACTTTTTAGTATCAAAAAAATTCAGGGTTTATCCATTTATTCCCCCCCCCCCTTTTTTACAAAAACATTTTGGGAACTCTTTTTTTTCCCCCCGTGTATTTTAAACCAAGTCACCTCAAAGGCCCTTCTGGACCAGTTTCCTGGTGAAGTTAAAAATAAAGATTTTATTACTATATCTTCATCATCATATAGCAGAGATGTGGTAGTAGAGAGAAGGAACTTTTGAGCAAAGAAATTCCAAAGTTGGGCTGGTGAAAGGACTCAGAGGCACTTTCTGCGGAGCCTGATGCCCCGAGTTCAGGACCTGGGACCTACATGGTACAAGAATAGGACTGACCCCACAAATTGTCCTCTGACCACCACATACCTGCTGAGGCACATGCTTGGTCCTACAGAAATAAATAGAGAGCCAGGTGGTGGTGGCACACACCTTTAAACCCAGCACTCAAGAGGCAGAGGCAGGCGGATGGATCTCTGTGAGTTTGAGGCCAGCCTGGTCTACAAAGCAAGTTCCAGGACAGCCAAGGCTACACAGAGAGTCCCTGTCTCAAAAAAACAACCAATCAAATCAAGCAAAATGACGACAAGGAGGAGGAGAGATTCCAAAGCAATTATCTGAGAAAATGATTATATAAAGTAATTCAGGAGCATAAATGAAACATAAATATCCATATGTTTTTTAAAATTCTTTACAGACATTGAAAAGATAAATGCAGCAACAAAAAAAATCTAGAAGAAATTTTACAGACATTTCTAATTATCATAAATATTTTTAACAGAAATTGAATAGTTTTAATAAAGTTCATCTGTTAGCTGATGCAGCTGGTGAACTTAGTAAGATGAGGTGATTTCAGATGAGTATTTCATAGGGTTGCAAAAGGCAGTGAATAACTGAACATTTTTTCAAGACCTCAGAGGCCATGTGATGTAGGACATGCACACAAGTATTTGCTGAATGAATGATACTCTTTGAAAGTAGCTAAGTTTGTTCATCAAAAGAAACAGCAATTTCTTTAGTAGTAAAATAGACAATTCCTGCTAAAAATACTTACATAACCCAAAGAAGAAAAGGCAGAAGTTATAGCCCAAAGCAGTGCATTATAATTTGCAAAGCCAGAACACAGAAAAATCTACCCACCAGCATGTGCCTGTCATCAAAGTCCTGACCCAAAGTCCTACAAAATAGCTGGCTTCAAAGGAAAGAAAAATACCTTCTAACAACAATTAAGATAGACTCAAAACACAAATCCCTTTTGCTATTCTGCTGCTGCTGGTGCTGGAAACAGGGCCTGGCAGGCAAGTGAGCTGATTTGATCTACACAACTGAGCTCCTTGAAGCCCAAAAGTTCCAAGAAAAAGTACCACAGATGCATGGGAAGTTCCCAAACAATTCTATGACAAATACAGAAAATGTTGCTAGTTAAGTTTTTCCTAAAAAATATTAAAGCCAAAAAAATAGAGATGGATGTGCATTCAATAGAACTATTACATTTATAGAGGTAGAATGAAGAGGTAGGAGTTAATGTAAAGTATATATACATACCACATAGACCGTTAATTAAAGCATTAGAAAGCCACATGCACTTCAAGACATGCAGGGGTGGGTGTTCTGTGACAGGAGCCAAGGACATTTTGCCAGAAGGAAAACTTCTTTAAGCATCACCTAAAATGAAGTTATAACTAACGTTATATTTTATTAGACATTTACTTTACGCTCATGGAGAACAAGACCTGTAAGGTTCAAGCCAGCTAACATGCTATCATTTCTGCCCTTACCCCTAATTGAGGAGGTATTGACAGCTGACGGCTTGTGGGTAGAGAGAGAGTCAGTTCTATCAATTCTAAGGCTAAGGTAGGTTGAACATACTCCAGTGGATGGCCCCCACACACAAGTATACGGACAACACAAATTTTACTTGGTAGGAAGGAGGTGTGTGTGTGTGTGTGTGTGTGTGTGTGTGTGTGTGAGAGAGAGAGAGAGAGAGAGAGAAAGTTAGGAGTGGGTAGAGGTGGAGTGGATCTGAGATGAATTAGGGGAAAAGTGGAAGGGGTTGAATATGATCAAAATACATTGTGTGCATATATGAAATTCTCAAAGAAAAGAATTAATAAAAATATATTTTAAAAAATGTCAGGTGATGGTGGTGCACATCTTTAATTCTAGCACTTGGGAGGCAGGGGCAGGCAGATGTCTGTGAGTTTGAAGTTAGCCTGGTCTATAGACTGTGTTTCAGGATTTCCAGGGCTACATAAAGAAACCCTGTCTCCTCAAACCACACACACACACACACACACACACACACACACACACACACAGACACACACACACAGACACACACACACACGTGCACACACCTTACATAATCAAGGAGATTTTTCCAAATTTCTAAAATTTAAGCAAAATCTAAGCTACTGTAATACAGGTAAGGTCTACAGATAAAATGTTCTTTTTTTTTTTTTTTTTTTTTTTTTTTTTTTTAGGTCTAATTTTTCTTATAAGTAAAATAAAGGTGCTAATGAGATTGTCTAGATGTCAAAGTCAGTAGGAATGTTGATTCCCTTGCTGAAGGAGTGCCATTTGTTGATAGATTGGGCAGCTGGGTAGTCATCCTTAGCTAAGTATAAACTAGTTTAGGTAAAAGATAGAAGTAGCCATTCCTTGTAGGATAATGGACCCAGGACTGGTACCCATTGAAGATGGATGTAGGTGTTCTGGGGTAAGTAGAATGTTGATGAGATAATTCAGAAACTGAGGGAAGAAACTGAAAGGCAAATTTGACCTACATCATTTTGCCTAGAAGTAACCAACTCATGACACTTTGAAGATAGTATTATGTTTAAATTATCTTCAGTTTTCTTGCTCTCAGGTTCCCATACAAAAATTATGCATGAATGCAAACACACACACACACACACACACACACACACACACACCAGTTCATACAAATTATGACACCACAGGAGACTGTCTTTTTTCTTTTTCTTCTGTAGTGCAGTGCTGGGATCAAAGTCAGGTTATGGTAGAGGCAAGCCCTCTACCACCAAGTGTTACACACCCAGTCCTAAACTAGTCTGATGGGAACACATGATTGGCAGGAAGCAGAGAACATGAACTGGAAGCATCAATTTTAGAACGTCAGATCTGACTGGCTCGAAGCACTGGCTTGCCTCAATTTCACTTGGGGCATAGGCAAGGTAGATTCCCTCTTAATGACTCAGGCTAAGGCCTCAAAAAATGGTGTAGGTCTACTGGATTCGGAGATAATGCCTAAATCACCTTAGGAAACCGATTGCTTATTATGTACTAGATATTTCAAGTTGGTGGAGTCGGCTGGGGCTTTAAACATGGGGAGCAGGCAAAGGTTCTTACCATAGCCTTCTTTTCCATATGCAAATGAAGGGGGTATAATCACCTTTCTCTTCTCTCCAGGGCACATGTCCATCATAGCAATGTCCAGCCCTTTTATGACATGCCCAACGCCAAGAACAAACCATTTGGGGTGGCCTTCATCTTGTGTCCGGCTGCAAGAAACCATACTTAGTACTTAAATAAACTGATGTCATGAAGGAAACTTTGGTTTTTATTTAAAATTAGAATATTTTCCCTACATTAGCATTCTTCCAGAATTCCTTCCTTTGTGAAGTGTTTACCTAAAATTTCCCCATAAATTGGCAGAAAGTATCATTAGAAGTCATTCCATTTTCTGTTCTATTGCAATCCTTACAAAATTACCCAAGAGTTAACTTTAAAATGAGTCTCCTGCCTCAGACTAGCTGCATGGCTTGAACAAAACTCATTTAACTTCAGTTCCCCAAAGGGGCATGCTGAGTCCCAAATTTCATTTTAAGAACTCAAAGTAGCATCCCATCAAATTTCTGTTCTAAATAGGAAGAACACATTTTCTTCTAAATCGGAAAGAATTGCTTTCTCCAGGCCTATCTTCGGAGGGTGACGGGACAGCTAAAGAAAAGGTACTGAGTCAGACCAGAGTAGGGATGGGAGAGGCAGATGGATGCAATGAAGACCAGAAAAATGTGGTAGCTCCCTAATACGCTCTGTTTGGGAAGAGCCACCAGGTCTGGGTAAACAAAGTGTGAATACCCTGTTCAAGCAGCCTCTAGATTTAGTTGTAGAGGTCCCAAGAACAGTGGCAGTGATTAGCAGTATGCATGAGGCAGTGGGTCAGCTGTCAATTTACTGAGCTAAGGTTTTCAACAATTAAAAACATTCAGTTTCTTAGGAGCTGTCTTCTAGTCTAAATAGGCATAATGACTTAACTTACTGTTTTTTTTTTTTAAAGCAACAACCGAAAATGAAAAAAAAAAAAAAAACAAAACAAAAAAACAAAAAACCTTAAAACAGAACAATCAATTGGCTTCTGGCTGGGGAGTGGTCTGGGAAGGCAAGATCTGGTGTAGCCATTGAACTTGAACTGCACGGAACATCTCCTACCTGCAGTAGAATTTGGAGCCATCTTTAGCCAAGTAGCCGTCGTAATGGGCATTTAGCAAGTCTCCTTTCCTGCTTGTTTTGGAGCAGTTTTCTGGACGATGCAAAACTTCTATTTTCACTTCCTCTGGGCTTTCTTCTTTCGTTTGTTCTTGAGCGTTAGAGCAGCTCCACAGGCTGAGGAAAACCGCTAGTCTGAATAGGAAATGCATGGTTCCCAGGTCCCCCGGGCCTACTGTAACCCTAGTTAGTGTAAGCCAACAGTAAGTCTGCTGTTCGCAGTGTCTCTCCGGTAGGACCGAAATCGGACGCGTGGCAGGCATTGTCCTACGTCACAAAAGTCCAAGGCGGGGCTATGCGAGCCCCCGCCCCGTCTCGCCGAGGACCGCGGGCTGACAGCAGTATCTTGGATGCGGGGTACCCCTGCTGGTTGTACCCGGGCTAGAATAGAATTGCACTTCTCCTCGTTAAGCCCTCATTTACCACAGGTGTCTTCCACCTTCAGTAGTCAGGGCCACGTTTCCTGAAATAAAGCTGGCAGTATGGTGGTCGTTTCTAGGAATTTAGAAGATATTGCAAAATTCTATTGCCTCCCCACCACTGCCTCAGCTGACTGATTGCTTGACTTAATGGCTTGATTTGAAAATTTTAAATGATAAATTAAACCATTTGGTCATAGAGGGAAAAAAAAAAAACCGATTAGATGGTTGTAGGTCCTAGAACTGAATATATTTTTTTTTTAAGTATTAAAAAGTTGGGCAAGAAATTGATACAAAATGCGAGCAATCCACGGTGGGGTGTCCTGGTCGAAATATGGCTGTTGTTTCTAGGTGCAGAAGGCCCCCATGGGTTTGGCAGGCACAGTGGTGGCCAGCATTCTTGGAAGAAAGTGACAAATAGGTTCGCTGCTGTTCTCTGGATACTTTAGGGGAAGCCCTCAAAGGGCTTTGGGGGTCGGGTCTCGGTCCTGCATAAATGGACTCCAGGGCCATCTTATGCGTCTGTCACATGCAACCTGGCCGCCTCAGAACACACAGTGGAGTGTGTCCTGAATGTGACATCGGGTTCCCACAGCCAATGCCTGGCATTGCAGAGGGAGGCTAGTTTGGCCTCTGAATTTAGTCACACCAGACAGGAAATTGACTATTGAACATTTTGTTCCAATCTCATATGGGCAGCAGAGATTGGCTGAGTCTGTTGATAATCCCCCTCTCTTTTTAGAATGGAAACCTTAACAAATAGCCTAAAAGTCGAGTTTTACAACGCATAGACTATATGCCATTTATTGGTTCTCCATCTGCCATTAAATTCATCAAGTGAGTATCTAGATTATCCTATTCAGTCAGCCTTCCCTGAGGGGGAAGTCAGGCATTTCACTACTTCAATACTGAGCCCGTTTATCCGGTGGTTTGGAATTTGCAAAACTTTCTAGATCTTAAAATTAGTGTCGAGGGTGTAAAGGTGTTGATTTCTTTCAAGTGAGATTTCTTTAAAATTTTTTTTTAATTTTTTTTCAAATAAAAATATCTAAGGGAAAACCTTTTACTTGGAAACAAAACAAAAATACAAAGCTTGGTTCCATCTTAACCTTCCTTTTCTTTCCTTTTTTCGTGACAGGGTTTCACTATATATCCTTGGCTGGCATGGAGTTCACTATGTAGACCAGGCTGGCCTCGAACTCACAGAGATCTGACTGCTTCTACTTCCCTAATGCTGGGATTAAGGGCATACATCACGATATGCAGCATGAGAAACACTGAAAGAAAATTTCTGTGTGCGTGAGTGCGTGCGTGCGTGCGTGCGTGCGTGCGTGCGTGTGTGTGTGTGTGTGTGTGTGTGTGTGTGTGTGTGTGTGTGTGGTGGTGAGGAAGATGCTTGTGACTCGGTCCACGTATAGAGGTCAAAAGACAATTTACAGAAAAGGGTTCTCCTTCCACTATGTCCCAGGATGGGACATCAAGCTTGATCATCAAGCTTCCAGAGGCAAGCGCTCTATCTGGAAGCCCGCAACCCTGGCCAACCCTCGCTCCATGTTTCCTGTAAAGACCTCCTTGAAGAACCTCACCATCCTGCATACTACTTTTATATCCTATCCCTCTTGCCCCCCCCCTTTTTTTAAGGGGTCTCACGCTGTAGTCCAGGCTGACCTTTTGGCATCTTCTCTAGAATCCTGGGATTACAGGCCTGTGCCACTGCTGCCAGTTTGTCCTAGGAAATAACTCCCTACCCCTGGGTATGAACCCTGGAAGCGCAAAGAAACGAGAAGCTCTTGATTTTATCCAGTAAGATTGGAATGAGGCGAGGCCTAAATCACCGCCGCCGGGGACAGGGTGACCCTGGAGTTCGTGCCTGGAGGGTCGGGATGCTGGGGAGGTGGGGCGCCCGGGAAATCGTGGAGACTGGGATCCGGGAAGCGCGGAACCGGGAACCGCTGAGCCGCCCCACGAGAGCGCGCGTCGCAGCCTCGGGCACGCGGCCGTCCCAGAGCCCCGCCGCCGGGGAGGGGTTTCGCGGGCCGAGCCGGCCCCTTTCATCCAGGAAGTGAAAGCGACGTCGGGGTCAATGAAAACAAACCGGAGCCCGGGGGGGAAGCCAGGCGGGCGCGCAGGAGGGCAGCGCCGGGGCTCGTGGAGCGGCGGCGGCGGAGCGGCAGGGCGGCGGGCGCTGGGGTCGCCCCGGGGGTCGCCGCGCCGTTCCCGCTGGGGATGTCCGCGCCTCGCGGCCTCCGAGCAGCACGCGGCGCCCGCCGGCCGGGCCTCTGAGGGCCGCCGGGTCGGGGCGGAGGGCTGCGGGCCCGCGCCTCCGCAGCAGCGCGGCCGGCGCCGGGCCAGGAGGATGCGCGGCGCCGGGCTCTGAAGCATGGAGGGGGTTCTGTACAAGTGGACCAACTATCTCACAGGTACCGGGCGGGCGGCGCGTGGCGGCGGGCACCCTGGTCCTCGGTCACCTCCTCTCTGGCCACGGGACTCAGTTCCACTCCCGATCCCTCCTCCTCTGTCCCTCTTGGGGTCCATTCCCGTCCTCTTCGACGGGGAGTTCGAGACCGACCGCGCGCCATCCCGAGGATGGGACACGCACCAGAAACCTGCGTGGCCCCTTGTGCCTCGGGAGCAGTCCCCCTTTATCCTAAGTGTGTCTTTACAATGTCTGCTTTCGTCCACGCTCCGTGGACAACATTTTGTTAGTGTGTGTGAAATCATTTAGTTTAAAAATAATGTTTTCTGTATTCCTTTACATTTTCTTCCCACTGGTTTGGAAGTCCACTTGTTGAGGTTGTCTGAGCTCATCAAGTGTCGTTTGGGAAGCTATTCTCAGAGAATGTTCCTAGGGATTGGTTTTTAGTGAGTTTTGGGAATTCGGGTGATTGTGAGACATAGTGGGAAAAGCGCATTTCAACATCATGGGAGTGCGGGTCATGTGAGGAATAGTTGGAAATACAACACACAGAGAGCAGGCAAGTTTCAGTGGTGAGGTAGTTAGAAGAAATCTGTACAGAAATGTGATCAGCAGCTGATAACTGTCCCTGCCTGTGATAATAGCAGTCTGGCTTTTAAATGCCTTAAAGCCAAATCCTGTGTTCTGCGCTTTAACCAACACCAACCAAAGGAAAGTGTGTTCTTTCAGGATCCCTGTTGGCGAAGGCCCGGGTGGTGAGCAATTTTGTCCCGGAGGTACCTTCCAACTTCTGAATCCCATGATCTCACCAAACTAGAGGAGGCCTGGAACGTTAAGGGAAACTTGGGCAGTACTCAGATTCTTAGTCCTGAGGAACAGTCAGTATTCTGCTTACTGCCTACTTACTCTGCCCCAAGTATTGAGCCCTTTAGGCATTATATGAGGCACTCAATTCGTGTCCACCCGTCTTGTGGAATCTGCAGGTAAACCCTGTAAGGGCTAAATGCTTAGCTGTATCTGGTTAGAGCCAGATTTACCGTAGCAAGTGGTTTAATATTTGTAATACACTGATGTTTTCTGCTCAGATGAAAAGGCCAAATAATCATGTTAATGACATATTTTTTACTGGAAGCAGTAAAACGTTAGGCAGATACAAGCGTTTTCATTTGGGCAGGTGTGAGCACAGATGCTGGCTGAGGAGTGTTAGCTCTGAGTCCCACAGCCTCTGTGAGCTTGGACATGCAAATATTTTTGAGCACTCTGTCTTTGGAGGTAATGTCAGAGGAGTATTTTCTGTATGGCCCGAGCAATGGGCAGTTGCTGCCACGTTCAAGTTGGAAGGGAAATTTCACTTGGAGAGCAATGTGTTTTTGTGGGAGGTGTCCTCTTGTCTTGGACTGAGTACCAGCACATACTGTGGTTTTAGTTTTTAGGGTGCATTTTGCTTTAACATCTAGTTAGCATTGTAGAGTGGCTGAAGTGTTTTGTTTGGAATGATTCCATTTTAAAAATGTAAAGTTGGCTCGACAGGGTTTATTTTAGTATCTCTTGGGTCAGGAGGTCAGGAGGTCAGGATGAGCAGCTGTTCATACTGTGCTGGTGGTCTCTAGGGACTTCAGGGTAATAGTGTTAGTTCTGACTTTTCCTTTTTTTTTTTTTTTGGATTGCACTTGTTCCCTTAACATTTAGTAGCTTGAGAAAACTGCTTGTTTTTGGTAGAAACTGAAATAGAAAAGAACCTCCTATTGCTGTACTGTAAAAGTGTGAGCCAGTTAGAGAAAGTTAGATTAACTATTTCTTCAAAAAGGTGTGGAGAGACAATTAGCAGGCTTGATTAGACTAATACGCTCAACTACATGCCTTCCTTAGTTCCTACCAATTCTAAATGAATCATTTTGCTTACAGTTGGTTTTGGAGAGCTGTTGCATCATCATAGTGCAGTCACTCACAGTAATGCTTTTCGAAAAACTAAGTTTCTGTTACTGACCTAGGTGGGCCTGATGTCTGAGACTGTATTTTTACCACTTCCTCTTTATAATTTGCCATGGTGTTGTATTTGGAAAAATAATGTATTCACTAATTCATTCTTTTAGTTATTGTAGACATATGTTAAAAATTTTCTCCATAGTATTTTCTTGAACACGCATGGCAAGTGCTGTCACCCCCCCCCACAGCCTTTTTTTTTTTTTAACATTATTTGACATTTTTCTAGACTTTCCTTCATGAGTACTATATTTAAATTACTTCCATCCCACCCTTCTCTCCTTATTTATTTATATGTATGTGTCTGTGGGTGAATGTGTGGGTGCCCCTCACACTGGATCACAGGTGGTTGTGAGCTGCCGGATATGAGTGCTGGGAACTCAGAGCAGCGTGAGTCTCAGTAGTCTAGCAATCACTCCAGCCTTGAGAACTATGTGTTTTTTTTAAAGCACCTCTTGCATGCTAAGGCATCTTTATGCAGTGAGGAACAAGACAGTGTACAAATACCAAAAGAGTTTCCCTCCTAATTTGGCAACCTTCTCTAGGGAATGCAATGTTTATGCAAATATATTTTCCTGGGGCCAGAAGTTTGCTTGGTTTATCTTTCTGAACTGGTGGGTGTAATGTCCCTGTCTTCCTAAGAAGGTAAAACTTAACCTGTTTGTGCTGACTCAGTGTCCTATTGCTGTGGTAAAATTCCTTGACCAAAACTACTTAAGAAAGAGGGGTTTATTTTGGCTCACAGTTCAAGGTTGTAGTTCATTCTTACCGGGAGGTCACAGACGCCCAGGCTGTGACTAACATCATGTCAGAAGAGAGCGGCAAGGGCATGCTAGGACACAGCTCTATGTCCATTTTGTACCATCCATTGTCCCCTGACCTGTACACAATTAAGAAGGGTCTGCATATTTCAATTAATGATCAAGATAGCCCGCCTGGATGATTTTGTCAACTTGATAAAACTAACCATAACACAACATTGTTATTTCAAAAGTGTGGTGAGCCCTAAATTTTATGCTTTGTGTCAGTCTATAAGAATGAGGTTTTCTGTCTTGGTACTGTCTGATCCTAGAAGACACGAGCTGATGAATTGTTTAGCAGCCTCTGGTCAAAGTGTTCTATTGGTGGCATGTTTCATTCATTTATACTGTACTGTGACTTAATAGTGATGGAAAGAATAAGGGCAGTCACACTGCTTCCAGCATGGTCACTATGCTATTAGTTGATGACCTGCTTTTTATTAGTAGTGTGCTTGATAAGATTCCAGGGAACACGGAGTGAAGAATCCAGTCTTGAGGAAAGCCATCACTCTTGTTTACAGGCTTTGCCTTTGAACCAGGTCTGATAGGTGTGTGCTTTAACTGCTGAGGAAATGCCAGTGAGATGAATGATAGAATTTAGTAGCATTTCTCCCTAAGCTGTGTATGTAGCATCAGAGAAGGGTAGAGGGGTGGGTGGGAACCTGCTCTTTCTATAGGCTATCACAGCTGCCTAACAAGTGGCAATTTCTTTAGGTTTCCCTGTCTTCAAGGGCATTTGCTTAAAGACAGCATTTTCTATCAGGGCAGGGAGGTCACATTGCATACGTGATGGTTGGTCCACTTGTTCAGTGCACTTGTTTTGGAGAAAGAATTTTAGAGACTTATTATGATGTAAATATTTACTCTAGGTTAGCCACCAAGAATAGTAACAGAACTGGAACAAAACTTATGGTTTCTGTAAGTTTATTTTTTTTTTTTTCCCAAACCCAAAGGTTTTAAGTGCTGAAGGGACATTCACAAGTGGAAAATGCCACACCTGACTTCCTGTGATAGGGCACAGTCAGAAAGAAAACTATTATATAAAATTACTTTTAGGTGATGTGGCATGAATTTCATGTTTAGATTGGGTTCCATTCTTCATACATCTCATAATGCATATGCAAACCCCAAATCTAGCATCTGAAACACCACTGGTTCCAAACATGTTGGGAAAGAAATGCTACTTCTACTTTATAATTTGTTCTCATACTGGAAAGGGAGCAGTTATGCTGTGCTTGGGTGGAGCTGTGGTTGAGGCTGCATTGCATCTTTTGGGTAGTTCAAGAGAAGGTAATGAGTTAGAGCAAAAATAGCCTTTTCTTTATCTAGAAATAGCGGGACATTTTGGGCAGGTTTTGGCCATTAAAAATTTCACTGTGTGAATTTACTGAGAGTCCAGAATTAATGTGGCATGGTTGAAATCAGTTTTTTATGTGGTAAAAATAACTTATTAACCTGTTTTGGTTTCTGGCCTCCACAGGTTGGCAGCCTCGATGGTTTGTTCTAGATAATGGAATCCTGTCCTACTATGACTCTCAGGACGATGTGTGCAAAGGGAGCAAAGGAAGTATAAAGATGGCCGTCTGTGAGATTAAAGGTGAGCAAGCCTAGGGTTCTACAGCTTTGTCACAGTTTCAAGTCCTCTTTGTAAGGGATCAAGGATGGCATTCAACATTATTGAACACAGGTTTGCTATTCCTCCCTTAATGTTCCCTGCATTGAAGCTTCAGATGCTTTTTTTCTGCTTGACTTGATAGATAATTCTTGTAGCATCTAGATACTCTCTGTTCCACCTTCATGGTTGAAGCTGAACTCTGTTGGTGAAGTAGGCCTCCCTCTGGGGCTTTGGTAAAGTACAGAGTAGAGGTTAGAAGCTTGCTTTCTTGCCCACTGCAGCTGAATGTTTGGGGCTAACACAGCCCCAAACATTTCCTTTTCTTCCAAAATGGGGATAATAGAGTAGTAGGTCACGGTGTAATAATTTTGGAGATTTCACAGATCATGATCTGACCTTGTGTGTGGGTGAAGGTGGGTCGAATGAAATCAGATAAAATGATAATGAGATTTAAATTCCTCAAGGAGAACTGAAAGGGACACAACACTGGAATGTTTAGTTCCCTCCAGGCCTTTTTCATGTCCCTCACAGCTGGAGTACTTCAGTCCTGCCTGAGGGCTTGCTCAAAGCCATCAAACACCCAGGCACATCTTTTGTCTTTTGCATTTGCTTATTTGAGATTAATGTAGTGCACTACATTTTCCAGGGCTGGAGTCTACTTTGGCATGGTTTTATGATTATTCTCTTCCTTTCTTCCTTCCCTTCTCTTTCCCTCCCACCCTCCTTCCTTTTCTTTTCTTTCTTTTTTTCTCCTCCTTTCCTCTTCTTCCCCCCCTCTGCTTTGGGTTCATATTCTTTAGCTATAGTTCTGTTCCTTCATCCCAGACTCCCTAGTAATACAGCCCTTCCTCCTCCTCTTTTTTCCTCCTTTATCTCCTTTTTCTCCATTCCTTTCTCGTCTTCAACCTTTTTTTTGAGACAAGGTCTCTGTATGTAGCCTAGGCTGGCCTGAAACTCTGTTTTGCTTTGTCCTCCCATGCCAGGGTTATCATCATGTAAACATTATCAGCTTGGGGTAGATCATGATGTCCTGGGAGTTGTCTCCAAAGCGAACATGCCTGTCGTGTGTTTGTGTTGTCTGTTCACTTTTTAATTAAGAATTGTTACTGTTCTAATGGAAGAGTGTCACAGCTGATCATTCTTGTGTATTCACTGAATGAATGGGGCATAATTTTGTTCTTTATTTTTCGTAGACTAAAACATTTACCCATATTATCTTGCCACGTGCTTTTTGCTGAGGTCTGTGTAGGTCATTTTCTCTGTCCCCTACCACCCGTGAACATTTCAGAAGTGCTGCCTTATAAGCCAGCTTACGAACCAGTGTAGAAGTGTGTTTAAGAAGCACATCCAGAGAATTTCCATTCAGCTCTAGCAGGTGGCTATGAGAAAAGAAAATACTCATTTAGTAACTGGATCCAGGGCATTCTTGCACTTGGCTAGGCAGCTCTTATTAGATCCATTTAGTAGAGTCCCTATTTGCCCTAGAAATTTCTTGTTAATACTTTCCAATTCTTCACCCTTCCCACCTTGGCTGTAAACTCCCACCTTCCTTTGTTGTATTGGGGCGGTTTTTCTCCATTACTGTAATACCCTGTATATACCATAATGGACCCAAATAAAGTGTAGTGTGCATAATAATAAAATGTCAGGGACACATTCCCTAGGACTGGGGATGTGGCTCAGTGCTGGAGAGCTTGCTTCTTATATGTCATTTCTTTTTTAGGAGTCCTCTCTCAGGTCTTTGTCTTGTTTTCTGAGCTTGATTGTTTTTTATGTTGATTAATAGCCATTCTTTGTATAATGTGAGCTTGCAAATATGTCCTCCCACTTGGATTTTGTTTGATGGTCAAAATTCCAGCAGATATACATATACACATGTATGGAAATGTCACAGTAAATTAATGTGCAGAGAACTGTATGGATATGGCGGCACATACTTGTAATCCTAGTACTGGGGGGCTTAGAAGAAAGTGTGAGATAGCCTAGTTTTTGTAGTGAGTTCCAGGCCAGCCTCAGCTACATTGACACAGGTAGATTAATAAGCAAGTAAATGCCAAACAAATGAAAATAAAGGTCTGCTATAGTCCCCCTCCCTGTATTGAACTTGGTATTTAATTTCTCTGAGTAATGCTTTGTATTTGGGTTTAGTGATCTTGATGGTGTAGCCGCCATCCACCTGCCACTTCTCCCGGAAGCCATGACTTGGAAACATAATTTTTAACTTTCTTGCTGCCTCCAATGGCAGTGTTGGAATTCTAATATGAGTAAAATGAGTTGTCTATTTTACTGTTGCATGAATGCTGGCACCGTTTTGCCACCGCTGCCACCTTGGGTATCCGGGACAAGGTGGTTTCCGTGGTACCTCTGGGGCTTCTGAGAGAGTGGCCCTGATTGTGTTGTGTGTGTAGTTTACACGAATGAAGCATCTGATACTATGTGGTGTGACCCCTCCAAATGCTTTGAGTCTATAACTGCACTTTTTTGTGTCATCGCAGTCCATTCAGCAGACAACACAAGAATGGAATTAATCATTCCAGGAGAGCAGCATTTTTATATGAAGGCAGTAAATGCCGCTGAGAGACAGAGGTGGCTGGTCGCCCTGGGGAGCTCCAAAGCGTGTTTGACTGACACTAGGACTGCAAAAGAAAAAGGTGAATACAGGTTTCTTGTACAAATGGCTTTCTAGGCATAAACGAGCCTGTCCACTCTCAATAATCAGGGGGATATTAGTAATGTAGAAGTCTTCCATAAATGCATCACCTTAGTAAGAACTGTGTAAACAATGGGAAGGTCTCAGTTTAGGAGAATCAGTTGGTAAGCCAGTGCTTTGGCCAGGTGATACATTATGGGGTCAGTAAAGTGTTTCCAAGGAAGTTTAACCGTGTGGAAAACTGTGGTTAACTGGTCATTGAAAAAGTAGGAGGACCAGGATCTGAGTTCAGTGCCCAGTGCTCATGTAAACAACCAAGCACGGTGACACCTGCTTATAATCCCAGCCCTGATGAGCAGGAGATAGGAGGATCCCTGGGGCCCACTGGCCAGCCAGCCTAGTTTAATTTGTGGGCTCCAGGTCAGTGAGAGATCACATCTCAAAAGAGGCTGATACTTCAGCTTGTTCTTTGCACCCATGTATGCATATAGAGAATGTTTAAAAATTAAAAACAATATTAAGTTAATTTAGTGAAAAACTACTAAGTTTTAGGTGTTAGGAAATGCAGGAATTTATAATGATATTGAGCTACATTAAAGAAAATTATTGATAAAGTGTGGCTAGGATTAGGATAAGAAGTAGCTAAAAGATAGGCACAGTGCAAATATCTAGAGAGACCTGAATAAATAAAATTGTGTTACCTGTACAATAGAATATTATTTATCCTTAAAAAGAAAGAGGATTGTGGCATATGGTACAACATGGTAATTTTATTTAAAGACATAGTCTTAGTGAAATAAAATAAGCCTGTCACAAAAAGAGAAACATTGATTGCATTCATTTCAAATACCAAAGATAGTGAGATTTATATAGATAGAAAGAGTGAACTCAATTAGGATTATGAGGCAGGAGGATTTTCAGTTTGGGGCTAGTTGGGGCTGCATAATGAGACTGTCTAAATAAGTAAAGTAGGGAAAAAAGAAAGTAAAGTAGAAGAAAGAAAAATAGTGGAGTTAGTGCCTACATGGAGGAGGAATAGGCTAGTGTTTAGTGGTTTCAGAATTTCTGTTGGGAAAATAATGGCCATGGTTGCACAGCATTTGAATGTTCTTAATGTCATTGAACATACACAGAACAGGATAAATTTGTGCTGTGTATAAAATACACACACACACACACACACACACACACACATTAAAGGAACGAGCTGGAAAGATGGCTCAGTGAATAAAATGCTTGAGAACTGGAGTTTGGACTCCTGGAATCCACATCAAAGCTGAGTGGGTGTGGCTGCCTGCTGTGTTGATGCAGAAGGCTCCATTTGGAAGCTAGACTAGCTGAATGGGATACCCCAGATTGAATGAGAGATCTTGATTCACTTAATAAAGTAGAAGAGCAATCAAGGAGAGGCACCTGATGTCCTGATGTTAACCTCTGGCCTTGACACTTGTGTACTTGGATATGCATGCCACCACACACATGCATGGCACCCCTCCCCAACCCCCCCAAAAACGGAAAATACTTAAATTTTTGAAAGAATTGATTTAGATCAGATTTGCAGAGTCCTGCTCTGCTGTGTGTTTTCTTCCAGGAAGCAGCTCCCTGGCCTGGCTCGGCCACTTCTGAAAGTCCAGCATCTACTATGTAGCTGCTGTCTCCCCCCCCCCGAGCTTTTATTTTTACTTTAAAAGATTATGGCTAGAGAACAGCTGAGCTGCTGGCTGGATACGAAGTTTGTTCAGAGTCACTAAGGAGAAGGAAGTGAGTGCTGTGTTAAAAATCCCAAGAACTGTAAAATGTGGAAATGGGACCAAAGGAGATTTAGTAGATATTTATGTGGAACTGCTTTCCTTAACTAAAAGCCAGCAACTTCTGTGTGCTAAAATACACAAGAAAACTGGAGGGGAACTAATGGGGGGGGGTAAGCATTTGTGTTATATAGGTAGATGAAATACTGCCTTTAATATATTAGAACTTTAACAGATTATCAGTTTCTGCATTAAAAGTAAAACTAATATCAGAGCTGGAAATTGTATGAAGAAAAGACAAAAGCTAGTTCACAAAAGTAGAAGTATAGGCTTCAGTGGGAGGAAGTGAATAATGGAGTGGGAATGCTGTGTAATAAAACAGCCTTTGACCAGGCTAGCAAGGCGTCTCAGTGGGTAGAGAGCGGGGCTTGTACACAACTCTAGTGACCTGAGTACAATCCCTGGGTTTCCCAAGGTGGCAGCAACTCCAGAGGGAAGTCTTCTGCCCTCTTCACGTGTGTGTGTGTGTGTGTGTGTGTGTGTGTGTGTGTCTTTATATGTGTGTGTGTCCGTGATACACACACACACACACACACACACACGTACATGTTCTCTTTCTCCCTTTCCTTCCTACCCCCAAATAATATAAAATTAATTAAATAAGTAGCAATCTAAAAACACCCAGTTGTCACCACTTGTCTGTAGAAATCAGCCTATGTAAATTTCATGGCAGGTGTGTACCAGTTGTCTCTCCTGAATTAGGTAAAGAAGGAGAGGAGAGGTGTTTCTTAGGGTCGTACAGTTCTGCTTCAAAGATTTTACATCTCAAGCTGTAACCGTTTGTTTTTGTTGCCTCTGTGTAGGAGCTCATGTGCATGCATTCATCTGTGCATGCTTGTTGTGTGTTAGTACATGTACATGTGGAGGCCAGAGGCTTTTGTTGGAAGTCCTCCTTAGTTGTTCACCTTATTCTAACAGGGCCTTCAGCAGAACCTGGAGCCCAATGATAGGGGTACACTAGCTGGCCAGTAAGCCCAAGGATCCTACTATCTCCACCTCCCCAGTGCTAGGATTGTAGACCACCACTGGGTCCAACTTTTTATGTGGGTTTTAAAGATCCAACTTAGGTCCTCATATTTGTGCAGCAAACATATTGTCGACTGAGCCTCTGTTGCCTGCTTTAAAAATGGTTGTTTTATTGTATTACCAAAGAACATGAAAGTGACCTAATTGGATATTTATATGTGTTTCTTTTAGAAATAAGTGAGACCAGTGAATCTCTGAAAACCAAAATGTCTGAACTTCGCCTCTACTGTGACCTCCTAATGCAGCAGGTTCATACAATCCAGGAATTTGTTCACCACGATGAGAGTCATTCATCTCCTAGTGTAGAGGTATTGTCAAGGGGACACATTTGCTGGGGATTGTACTGCACCACATACTGCCCTGGGGCTTCCTTAGCCACTCCTAGGATGACAGAAACATCCTTACTGAGTTACTCACAGTTGTTCAGAGCGTTCTGAATTCTGTCTCTGCTAGAGGCAAGAATCAAAGCAACTCATGTCTCCAGGGAGTCAAGGCCTGTCTCAGCAGCCAGTAGTTGGAGACTAGGCTCAGGAAGAAGCACTCTGGCCTGCGTTCTCTGGGCCAATTGCACGAATACAGTAGATAACTTCTGGTTTTTCTTTTAGTGATAAAGTCTTAGCTTTAATTTTCTCGCTTGATTCTCAGGATGTGCCTGGTTTCATGATTGAGTATGAGTCTTCTCAGTCTTTATTTGTCATTTTTCAGAACATGAATGAAGCCTCGTCCTTGCTTAGTGCCACCTGTAATACATTCATCACAACTCTTGAGGAATGTGTGAAGATAGCCAATGCCAAGTTTAAACCTGAGATGTTTCAACTGCCTCATCCGGATCCCTTGGTTTCTCCTGTGTCGCCTTCTCCTGTTCAGATGGTTGGAATTTCTTGTTTTTCTCCTAGGGATATAAAATATTTACATTAAAGTCAATTATTTTTGTGGGTTTTGTGTGTGTGTGTGTGTGTGTGTGTGTGTATGTGTGTGTGCACACGTGTGCGTGTTGGTGTGTTGCACATGCATACATGTAGATTGGAGTTCACTGTCAGATGTGCTCTGTTGCTTTCTTTTTAGCTTATTATTACTATTTTTTTTTTTTTTTGAGACAGTCTCTTACTGAGCCTGGAGCTAATCAATAGTCTAGATTGGTGAGCTCTGGATATCAATCTCCTTACCTGTGTCTGTTTGCAGATGCACACCGCCATGCCTGTCTCCTTACCTGTGTCTGTTTGCAGGTGCACACCGCCATGCCTATCTCCTTACCTGTGTCTGTTTGCAGATGCACACCACCATGCCTATCTCCTTACCTGTGTCTGTTTGCAGATGCACACCGCCATGCCTATCTCCTTACCTGTGTCTGTTTGCAGATGCACACCGCCATGCCTATCTCCTTACCTGTGTCTGTTTGCAGATGCACACCGCCATGCCTATCTCCTTACCTGTGTCTGTCTGCAGGTGCACACCGCCATGCCTATCTCCTTACCTGTGTCTGTCTGCAGATGCACACCGCCATGCCTATCTCCTTACCTGTGTCTGTCTGCAGATGCACACCGCCATGCCTATCTCCTTTCCTGTGTCTGTCTGCAGGTGCACACCGCCATGCCTATCTCCTTACCTGTGTCTGTCTGCAGATGCACACCGCCATGCCTATCTCCTTACCTGTGTCTGTCTGCAGATGCACACCGCCATGCCTATCTCCTTACCTGTGTCTGTCTGCAGGTGCACACCGCCATGCCTATCTCCTTACCTGTGTCTGTCTGCAGATGCACACCGCCATGCCTATCTCCTTACCTGTGTCTGTCTGCAGATGCACACCGCCATGCCTATCTCCTTACCTGTGTCTGTCTGCAGGTGCACACCGCCATGCCTATCTCCTTTCCTGTGTCTGTCTGCAGGTGCACACCGCCATGCTTATCTCCTTTCCTGTGTCTGTCTGCAGGTGCACACCGCCATGCCTATCTCCTTACCTGTGTCTGTCTGCAGATGCACACCGCCATGCCTATCTCCTTTCCTGTGTCTGTTTGCAGATGCACACCGCCATGCCTATCTCCTTTCCTGTGTCTGTTTGCAGATGTACACCGCCATGCCTATCTCCTTTCCTGTGTCTGTTTGCAGATGCACACCGCCATGCCTATCTCCTTTCCTGTGTCTGTTTGCAGATGCATACCGCCATGCCTATCTCCTTACCTGTGTCTGTTTGCAGATGCACACCGCCATGCCTATCTCCTTTCCTGTGTCTGTTTGCAGATGCACACCGCCATGCCTATCTCCTTTCCTGTGTCTGTTTGCAGATGCACACCGCCATGCCTATCTCCTTACCTGTGTCTGTTTGCAGATGCACACCGCCATGCCTATCTCCTTTCCTCGGTGGTTTTGCACACCACCGAGATCTGAACTCAGATATTTAGTGGCAGGCACTTTACTGACAAGTCACAGTCTCAGCCTCTCTTCTATTGAACCTGGCCATTCTTTTCCTTTCCTTTTTAAGAGTGGAAATGGAAAGTGGGGAGGGAGTAGTCCACAGACTGAATTGCTTTTGTCTGTGATGGTAATGTGTCCGCTTAGCTGAAGAGCTCAGCACATGCAATAATGTCTTAGCCTACTTTGAATGGTCTGAGAATGGCCTGCCTTCCCACTCTGCATCCATTTGCCTGTGTGTCCAGAAGGCATTATATATAGTGGTGTGTGTTTGTGTGTGTGTGTGTGTGTGTGTGTGTGTGTGTGTGTTGCAGTAAAGGAAGTTAGGCATGTGTCTGCTTGATAAAAGCTTTGGAAGAGAGTGATGTTTTACTCTCGAGGGGTTCTATTAAGCAAAGGATGAAGCTTCCAGTGGGAACTGTTCTGCATTCAGCGCTTGCGTTTGAATTCTCTGAGTAGGCTGCTTGCTAACTGCTCCAGTCCTTCATTTGTGACATGTCTTCTGTGTCAGAAGGTCATCGTGAAGGATCTGAGCCACGTAGTAGTAGGCGTTTTATGTTAGGTTCTTGATTACTCTGCACACCAAGAACTCTCTATTGGGGGTGGTGAACTCCCTGTGCCTTCCCTGCTATTAAATTTTCTCTGGCGTGCCAGGAGGAACCTGTGCTAAGATCAGGTTTGAGAGCATGGCGTTGTTTCCCTTGAAGTATGCTTGGGAGCCTGTTGGTAGGAAGAGGCTATGGCTTCACCGTTGCTGGATGATCATTTGTGAGAAGAGGGCCCAGCTCACTCCTGTGCTCTCCACCCACCCCAGTTCAGTTGTGGAGAAGGAATAAAGAACGTAGCCTATATTTATTTAGGTTCCGTTTTTATCATGACCATTGGACACTGTTAAGTGTCCATAAAGAATTTTGGTCAGATGAACTGGGGATGTTTCCACTGATTTAGGGAATGAGATTTTATTGTCTTAGTCTAGCAGAGATCCTTTGCTAGGATTTCTCAGCACCTCTTTCATGCGGAGTATATTGTGGGGGCCAGCAGGCGGGTGTCAGAGCCCTGGGAACTGTGGTGTGAGCTACTGGGTGCGGGTGGGGTGCGAACGCCAGTCCTATCTGTGAGCTGCATTCCCACAGGCTGCTGAGCTGTGTCTGTAGACCAGTGAACAAGGATGTGACTGTGGTGGGGCATGTTAGTGTACAGCTGTGTCTTCATACCGTCCCTGTAGCTTTTGGACTGGAAATGTCTGTTTGTCACTTCAACTGGGGCTTGGCAGCTAGCAGCTGAAGTTGCACACTCAGGAAGCATTTGTACAGCATGTTAGGTGTGGGCCTGCATACATAAAGCATGCTAAGCCTTTCGGACAGACAGCTTCTCTGTCACCTTGTTAAGCTGAAATAACTGTTTGACTTGTGCTGCCCTTCCTCGATTTTCTGGTGGGCGAATTGCATCTTCTAAATTATGCATTCTGCTTAACTAGACTCCTTTTCTTTTTAACATCCTGGCATTCTACTTTTATAGTTTCAAGGCTTGGACTGGCCTGTGTGTAGTGGGCAAACACTCACTGAGCTTACATGCTTAGCCCGCTGATTGCTTACATAAATGCTTTAGAGACGGACCTATTTGAGGTTTAGGGTTTTTCTGAGCTCTGTAAAGACTAGACTTACCAATGTTGCCCTCCATGAAAGCTACACTGACGCATTCGTGTGGAAGCTGCCTAAATAAGGAATGGCAGAGAGGAGCTTTACCACCACATCCTAATTGTGCCCTTTAGAACATTTGTTAAGAGTGTTTTCATTCTTAAAAATGACTTTTAGATTAGTTATGTATAAGCTGTTCTTTATACTTCAATATATTATATAACACACACACATACATAATTAGAAGTTTAGTATTTTTTCAGTATGTTGAGAAATTTTCAGTTAGTAATTATTAGGGAGAAACTGTGATATGTTTAGGTTGTTACTTGAGTCTGTAAAAGGTAAGTGTTTTTTTCCGGGCATCTGTTTATCTGAATCAGTTTATGTTAGTTATGATAATGAATTGGAGGTGCATTATTCTTTTTGACTAAACATTTTCCTCTCTTTTACATTTCTAGATGAAACGTTCTGCCAGCCACCCTGGTTCCTGCAGTTCAGAGAGGTAGACTAACCATTTCTTCTGACTAAATTCTGTGTGGAGAATGCCTCCTTGGGGAAGTTCTTCAGGCCAGTGCCAGCTGTTGTGGCTGTCAGTTTTGTGGAGTAGGCCTGGTTTGGTTTATTTCTTCACAATCTTTGTGTGTATTGCTTAGTTCTTGTGTCAGGGGCTGGCTTCAGAAAGGAAATGTACATCTAAGAATTAAGTCAAAGGTGGTTCCGTGCGCTGGCTGTCATGTTTCTCAGGTTTATATCTAGAGCCACTGAGAAAGCTTAGCAGGCAAATGTACTTGCCACCAAGCAACAAGTTATGTAAAAAGGAAATAATGAAATATATCAAGTGGCTAGAAAGAAATTTGTATTTGAGTGTCTACAACTAAGGACTTTTTTGGGGGGAGGGTTCAGACAGGGTTTCTCTGTAGCTTTGGAACCTGTCCTGGAATTAGCTCTGTAGATCAGGCTGGCCTCAAACTCACAGAGATCCGTCTGCCTCCTGAGTGCAGGGATTCAAGGCGTGTATTACCAACGCCTGGCCAACTGAGGATATTTATTCTTAGCCTTTTATATTGTCATATATCCATGCCAGGCTGTTACTAAGAAAGAGCTCACTGAAAGAGAGAAAGCAATATTCATATCAGACTGGAAAATTCACCTTCCATGTAGGTCTTGCCAGTGCCTAAGCCATGCTCTTCTTGGTGACTGGGCTTGCCATCTTCTGTTCTTTGGAAAGTGATGAAATCAGTTTTCTTCACCATGTTTCGCTATGCTGTTAAGTATTGAGCCTTGTTATTGTTGAATTAATCTGCTCAGAGGAAGCCAGTAATTCATATATACCCAGGCCCGGCAGGGAATGAAGCATTTTAACATTCAGACTTTATAGAACAATGGAAGCTAAGTCATTTGACATGACATCAAACATTTTGATGATAGAAAGGTTTCTAAGCTATATTTTATGCTTTCCTCCCCCTTGGACAGTAAGTTATAAAAAGGTTAAATAGTATTTTTCCTTGGACAGTAAGCTATAAAAAGGTTAAATAGTATTTTTCCTTGGACAGTAAGCTAAAAAGGTTAAATAGTATTTTTCCTTGGTATGCCAAGGTTGTACAATGCTGCTGAGTCCTCATGAAACAGATGTTGAGCTGCTCTCAGGTGGTAGTGATTTGCTTTTGTGTTTGCATGTGTAGACTGGAGTTTCTAGGAGCCAGTGCTCTTAGCTGCTGAGCCCTGCCTTCAGCTCCTAGACTGACTTTTAAAACTGTTTTGTTTTGGTGACAGGGTCTTTGTGTAGCACAGGCTGTTCTCAAACTGGACATAGTCCAGCGTGCCTAATCCCAATCCTCCTGCCTTTACCTCCTTGGTGCTGGGAGTAAAGTGTGAGCCACCAGGCCTGGATAATGCAGTGCTGGGGTTCAAGCTCAGGGCTTTGTGCATGCTGCGTAAATAGCCTACCAACTAAGCTCCATACTTAGCCCCAAAGCATGTTTTGTCTCTAGCCCCCACTTCACCACTTTTTTCTTCTGTTTCTCTGCCGGTGAGTTCACGTCTGAACATTTCTGAACTTTTGGCACCCTCCTTCAGTCTGCCCTTTTCACCAGTTAAAGGTTGACGCTAGATATATGCACTTGTGAAACCTAAGAACATTCTCAGGTATTTGCAGGCCACCTATGTCGACTGCCCCTCTGGACCCTCTTCCTAGAAGCATGGCTTTGTTCTCCTTTCTCATTTAGCACCTGGCCTCTGAGTTTGCCTGCCCACCCATGTTCCAGGCAGACCTGCCTGCCTGCACACCTCCCATCTAAATGAGCAGCACGTTGCTAACAAAGCAGATTAAGCCTCAGGGGAGTTTCTTACTTGATTTTTGAGATAGGGTTTCTCTGGGCTGTTGTAGAACTTGGTATGTGGACTGCCCCACCCACGGGGCAGTCAACAACGAGCTAAGAAACACCTAGGGGGAATCGAAGGACAAGGGATAGAAAGAATGACAGCAAGTCAATATTCTGATCAAGCTGACAAATTTTATTTTCTCAGGGGAGGCTTATATGGGGCAGGATGTGAGCAGAGTTTGCAAGTAGGCAGGATGAAAGGGTCAGTAGAAGGAATGCCCTGAACTAATCTTTAACTGGCTGTAAAACTGTAGCAGGAGGAATATCCTGAGCTATTCTTTAACTGGTTGTAAAACTGCAAGCCTGTATCTAGGAATGCTCTCCTGCTTATTTCTTAAGAGGCTGTAATTTTCTATCTCAGAGGCCTGAGGTAGTGAGGATGGTGATGGTCCCCAACAGTGGACCAGGCTGGCCTTGAACTCTTGGAGATTCTCCTGCCTCTGCCTCCTGAGTGCTGGGATTATAGGTGTGCACCACTATGCTTGGCCTCAAAGAGAAGCCATTTAAAATCCCAGTCAAGAAAGAATCTTTTTGTTGTTTGATGCCCAGAACTTAATGTTTTCTATTTAATGTGCAGGGGCAGCTGTTCCATCAAAGAAGCAGCCTCTGGCCTTCACAGACTTCCTCAGCGCCGCCGCAGAACCTACTCAGACACAGACTCTAATGATGTTCCCCCTGAAGACCCAGAGAGTGAGTTCCACAGCTTCTGTCTCTTCCACTACTTCAGCACTACTGCTCCAGGTTCCTGTAGTTTCTGGGACTGAAATACACTGTCTCTGGATGTCATTGGAACACTATACTTTGCTTTTAGGCGAATTCATCAGAGGGAAGTGAACCCCCACAGCCCACAGCTGCTCCTGTTCTCTTCCCAATAGCTTTGGTATTTTGTGTATGTGGTTAAGAGGTGCTGAAGATCATTGGGAGATATTTTATCTCAGACATTTTTATTGACTGTGTCTTTATTACCACTAGGTTTCCATTTCAAAGTGTGATAGAAAAATCATTAATTACAGGTAGAATTCTAGAGGAAATAAAGGTCGGAAATCAGAAAGATCAGCCATGCTGTGTTATTTATCTACCTTAAAATGGCTAAAGAAAGCAATTTTTTGTTGTTTTGACAACTGATCTCTGTACCTTTTCCCCCTTGTTTCAGAGGCAGCAGACTGTCATTTCAGGAGACCCTAGGGATTTCTGTTGAGATTTGTGCTTACGTAAGGAGCAAGGTCTTTCACAATGTGTCAGTGTCAGGATGTACCCCATTTGATTGCAAGGACCATGGTTTCCAGTGTCGTCTTACACATAACATCTCACCTGTTAAGAGTCCTTACCTCCCATGGAGTATGTTCTTTGGATGTCAGTTATATGGAATATGGATCTGATTCCCTATGGAAATGACATAGTAAATGGTAGTTAGGTTCTCCAGACAGCCAGGTCACAGAGTAGGAAGAACTGCCTTTGTGGTTTTGAATAGATGAGAAGACAACGGCCTTTCTTTACTCACCTAGAAACTAAGCAGGCTCTGTTGGAGGAAGAGGTAGTGTAGATGTCAGTGCATTTAATTCCAAACAGAACCTTTGACCACTTTCTTCTTCTTCTACTGCATTTGTGTGTGAAGCATATGCAGATTTACATATGTGTGTGTGTGGGGGGTCAAGGTTGAGTTGATAGTCTTCATTACACTTTGTTTGCTTTCTTTTTTGGGGTGAAGGGTGGGCATTGAGACAGGGTTTCTCTGTGTAGCCCTCACTTTGTAGACCAGGCTGGCCTCCAAGTCAGAGACTGCCCTGTCTGCCTCCTTACTGGGATTGAAGGCTGCGCCCGGTTTTCACTTTCATTCTGAGGCAGGGTCTCTAATCAAACCCAGAGCTGACAAATATGGCTAGTTTCAGTAGCCAGCTGGTTCTGCTTATAAAGCAAGCACTTTACTGCCAAGCCATCTCCTTAGCCCATTTTTGTTTTCTGTATAACTCTCTCTGGCTGGCTTATAATCTATTATGTAGACTAAGCTAACCTTGAACTTTTGGCTATCTTCCTGCTTCTACAGGCATGGGGTTATGGGCATGCACTACCATATGACTTATTTTCACATATTTAGAAGGCAAAGACATTCACTAACTTAGTTTTTAGGAGTGTTTCAAACATGTCACACATAGAGATATATGTATGTGTCAGTTTAGCATAAAGCTTCTGCTTTGGCAAGGTGTAATGTATCCTTAAATTTCTTTCTGTTTAATGATTTAGTTGACAAAGCAGAGGATTAGTATATTTTATATATTAGTGTATTATATAAGATCATTGGTAGATACTTTACCTCAGTATGTTAGTATTAGGTATATTGCAATCATCAGTTGACATGTAGCTCAAGTTGGTCTTGAACTCTGGGTTTCGGAGGTTGACTGAATTCCTGATCTTCCTGCCTCCATCTCCTGACTCTTGGGACCACAGGTGGTCACACCATGCCTGATTTATTCTGTGATGGTGCTTAAACCCAGGGTCTCTCCTGAGTGTCGTCTGCCATTGCGCCCACTCAGGTCCAGCCAAAAGTTGTTACATGGCAATACTCTTCTTGTGAGGTGCTTTTGGTTTTGGACATTTGCTTTTGAAGATCAGAAAAGTAAAATGATAAACCAGGTGCAGAGTGGCTCTTGGGAGGCTGACTGTTGTGAGTTTGAGGTCAGTTGGAGGCCCTAGGCTACCCTGGGCTATAGACTGAGACCTTGTCTCAAAGAACAAGACTTAAGTAAGAAGTAAGTAAGTAAATACATACAATAAAAGAAACAAAAGTGTGTGTGTGTGTGGGGGGGGGGGGAGCCTTGGTAAATCCAAGCAGCATATGGAAGTGTGACTACTTACTCTGGAATGGGATGCTACTGGGCCCTGTTTGCTTGAGCCTCACTGGCAGTTGTGAACTGTGTGGAAAAGGGAGCTCCCAACATAAGAAGTCTTTCTAGTTTTGCTCAGAAAGGCTTAGTTCTGTGATTGTGTGATCTTGGAAAAATCCCATAGTGTTTTTGGAGTCTGTTGGTAAGAAGGTACTAACAGCATAAGGACCACCGATCATGCTGAAAAGGCAGTGACCAGGTTAAATTCATTTCATCAGGTTGATGGCACATCGTGTGCCAGCCTTGCTTGTGGCAATGACCAAAACAAGTCCCTGCCTCCGTTTATTACACCATGTTCCTCAGGAGCACTGGCATTTGTCCTTATGACTGTCAGTGTGAGAAAAGGGGGTTTCTCTATCAAATGAGCAGATGATTATCAGGAACCTAGTGAAATTTTGTTTCTGTGAACAGAGCTGAGATGGTCTTTCATAGAAGCCCAGTCAGCATTGCTTAGATGTTTAACTTGCCAATCACTTTTCACAGGACCTCTTCACTGTTCAGGAAACACACTTAATGGAGATTTGGCATCAGCAACCATTCCTGAAGAAAGCAGACTTCTGGCCAAGACACAATCTGAATCTGAAGAACCTCTTCCACCCTTCTCCTGAGGAAACGGACACGTCCAGCCTCCTCTGAGTGTTGCTATGCAAAAGCTGCTGTAATTAAACTCTTTCTGGGGTAGCTTCCCCTCTCCTTAGGATTTCTCTGCACTTTATAGAATATTGTAAACAAACAACCCACATACTTTTGAAGTGTATTTTATCTTTCTATAGTTTACTTGCAAGAGTATTTTCCTAATAACTTCACAGTATGAATGTGCATCTTTTTTTTTTTTTAAACAAATGATGGTGTAACATTTTGACATCCATAAGGACAAATGTAGATATTTTTCTAAAAAACTGTGAGGGACTGGCAGCTTGGTCAGTGTGTATTGTACTATATAAATATGAAATCTCGTCAGGTTTGTTTTGACAGAAATGTGATAGATGTAACTTGTGCCATGGACCAAAAGGTCACTTCACCCCAGCTTCAAATTAATTACCATAGCAGCTTGATGGTGATTGGATTGTATTCCTTTAAGCAAAAGAAGGAAACACTGTTCTGAAGGTCTTTAGCCCAAATACCATGACTTATTGAATACTTAAAAAGAGTCAGACTTTGCTGTCCTTCGTATGTGAAGTTGACACTATTGATTGTCAACACCAAACATCAGGTTACAGTGTTTAATTTTTATTTATTTATTTTCTTACTGCATCAAAAGATGATCATGTCCTAACTATTGTGACCTTCCCAATTTAAAATGTATATGCATTGTTGTCACGTATGTCATTCTAAGAGAGGCAAGTGTCTCGGCGACCTCGTTCCCCTACACCAGAGAAATAAATGGCTTTCAATGGAAAAGGATTTTAGTGCTTTTTTTTTTTTTTTTTTTTTTTTTTTAAAAAATAGGAACAAAGCTGCTGTTGTAAGGTATGATTTGCAGCTCTTTGGCATATCTAGAGACATTTTTAATTTATGAATATTTATACAAGAAAGTAATTCTGTCAAGATGACTGTTCTGTATCATTTGAGAATGGCATTATTTAATTAAAGAACAATTTGCATTTTTTGGTTAGTGCCTGTCATATCTATTACCAGTGTTTGCCCTGTAATTTGGTTTTCTTTTAAGTTACTTTGGGGTGATGGTCTTACCCCAGAGTTTGAATGAACAGCACTTTAACAAAAACTGGCTTCGTGTTTTTTAAGTTAGTCAGTCATATTTAATAAATGTGGTTTTTACATTCAAATTCATCATCTTATATATTGTATCTTTTACATTCATAGGTATTCTGTCTAGTCTATTAAATACTATTAGTGTTCTTTATTGGTTTTTATTTTGTTTCAGTGTTCAGACCTACAGGTGAACATACAGCAATCTTATGTTTAGATTATATATCCTATTAGTTTAAATGGTAGCCAAATATTTAGTAAATACTTGATATTTACTGAGGTGACAGAAACTCACAGGGCAGGAACCTGGAGGCAGGAGCTAATGCAGAGGCCATGGGGATGCTGTTTATTGGCTTGCTCCCCAAGGCCTGCTCAGCCTGCCTTCCTACAGAACGTAGGACCACTAGTCAAGGGATGATATCACCCACCATGGGCTGGGCCCTCCCCCATCAGTCACTAATTAAGAAAATGCCTTACAGCTGATCTTAAGGAGATATTATTTTTCTTCATTGTAGTTCCCTCCTTTCAGATGACCGTAGTTAATGTCAAGTTGACATAAAACAAGCCAGGGCAGTTGTGTTGGGTTATTTCCACGGGACAAGTCTAGAAGTAGATTCTTAGTGCAGAATAATATTCACTTTCATTACCATGACAACACCCTACCTTAAACATTCTGAGGACTCTCAGGAGGCCATTCCCTCGAATCAGCCCTAAGCAATCAGGCAGAATATTTTGTTAGGATACTTGAGGCATAGACAAAAATGTGTGTTTTGTTTTTACTTTACGACCCAGTGATAGAGTTTGTAGAAAACTCTTGCCTTCACTGCCGCTTGGTCAGGTAGGCTCCCTATTTCCTGGCCCTTGTGAGGGGACGAGGTATTGCAAATGAGGTTTTGGTGTTTCTTTTTTAAACAGGGAATAAACTGAAGGGATTTTTGCTGTTGTCTCTGCTTTAGAACTATGACCTTCCAAGTGGGACAGAGCCCAAGCCTCTTCACCCTAAACAAGGACTGTCTCTTGCCCTTTCATTACAAAGTAGCTTTGGCTTTTGGGGTGACAAGGTACTTAGCAGGACATTGTAGAGCAACAGGCCTGGCTTCTGAAGACCCAGAAACCCAGGTCCAGCTCACTGATTGACTTTGGGCCTATGCTCGTTAGCTGTTGTTAACTTGACACAAACTAGAATGACCTGGGAGGAGGGATCCTCAATTGAAGAACTGCTTCTACCAGGTTGGCCTGTGGACGAGTCTGAGGAGCATTTTCTTGATTAAAGGAACGATGTGGGAGGGCCCAGCTCACAGCGTGTGGAGCCACCCTTAGGCAGGTGGTCCTGGGTTGTTTGAGAAAGCCTCTGAAGCCGCCCTGCAGTCTGCCTCAGTTCCTTCCTTGAGTTCCTGCACTGGCTTCGCGGGATGGATTGGGATCCGGAACTGTAAGTGAAACATCTTTTCTTGCCCTAAATTGGTTTTGGTCACAGCAAACCGCAACAGAAATGTTAGTTATAGACACTGGATTCCCGTGTTCTTCTGCTGTCTGCCTTCTCTTCTGTGGGTACCGCCATTGACTGAGTTCTCCGTGCGTGGACCTTGTTTATACTGACAGTTAGGTTTCCTGTGTACTCGTTAGCCAGATGAGTCTGCTCATGTCTTCCTCCGACTTGAGTTGTACTACGTAGGGAAGTGTCGGATGGGGGAGGGGAATAGCTGGCTCTCATCATGGATGCGGATCAAGTTTCTCAGTGGATTGGGCAACTAGTAGCACCTTTATTCTTCACCTGACCACAAACTCCAGGCAAATTATGGTGTTTTTTGAGCTGGCAGAAGCTAATTTCTGTCATGTGCATCAGTTTTAGGGAAGTGTTCTGACCCTGTGGTCCTCTAAGGTTGTTTAGTACCAAGGCTCCCTTGGAAATCCCTTTGTCTTAAAGAATTTATACCTACTACATCCCTAGCAAGAAACCTTAGTCCTTAAGGCCCCATTGGTTCCTGAACTCATGGTTCGGGAGGGGCCTTACACAAGGCACATTTTCCAACTGCATAGGGAAAGGGAATTCAAAACACCAGGGCCCTCGTAGGGATTTCAGAGTAATGTTTCAGGATGAATCATGTAGGAATTTGTTTACAGACATCCTGTGGAACAGGAAATACTCAGGTACACTCAAAGACGTAAAACCCAGCCTTTGTGATCTGCTTTGTGATGCAGATTTCTGGACTGTCCTATAGCCAGTGTCCTGTTTACCCAGCAGACCACTCTCCTGATGTAAGGAAACTGGACTTTAGTAGTTGGTCTTTCTTGTCGAACTCTCTTGGACCACCAGCCTCCAAATAATGACACAGAGACCTATTATTAATTATGAAAGCTTGGTCTTTAGTTTGTTACCAACTAGCTCTTATAACTTAAATTAACCTGTTTCTCCTAGTCTACATTCTGCCATGTGGCTTTTTACCTCTCCATCTTGTATGTCTCAGTGTCTTGATGATGTACATCTCCCTAGGAGCCTAGATTCCTCTCCAGTTTCTCTCTCTCCTTAGAAGTCCCATCTATTCTCTCCTAGCTATTGGCCATTCAGCTCTTTCTTAAACCGATCAGGTACCTTAGGCAGGTAAGTTAAAACAATGACACATTTTCACACAGTGTGATAAAATATTCCTCAACAGACTTTGCCAGTTTTCTTAAAATTATATTTGGTGCTAATATTTCCTTTATCTTCCTGGAGCATAGTCTCAAAACATTCTTAATGGGTTTAGTTACCATGGAAATGCAGCTTTTTTTTTGTTTTTTAAACTGACCATTTCTGGTTATCTGCTTCCCTATTGCCAAGTGTTTCTGGACAGAGGAAACCCGTATTTTGAAAAATCCCATCAAAATGTTCTTATGAAACTGCATGTGTGTCAGTCATTTCTGTGTTACAAGTTGAATTTTGACTTTTCTGCAAAAGGTATGTTGGGTTCTTAACCTCCAGGACCTCAGGATGTGATCTTATTTGAGACAGGGTCTTTGGGGAGATAGTGGTTAAGATGGATCCTAATCCAGCATAGCTGACACCCTAATGGGAAAAAACTGGGAGACAGACATTCATTCATGAGCTGAGAGTCCTGGAGAAGGTGCTGCCTTCACAGCTGTCAGGAACAACCCTGCACACACGTAATTTTAGATTTCTAGTCTCCAGAACTGAGTTTTATTTCTCTTGTGCAAGCCACTCACTGGTACTTGTTTGCAACTGCCCCAGCAAACCAATTTGGTGAACATCAGTGAGACCTAGGGTAGGTTCCCTCTCCTCCATGGTGACCCCTAAGAACTATTGCTAGTATATCTTGGGTGCTATGCTAAGCACTGCTGTATGAACTTCACATGTAATAACATGCCTAATGCTCCCAACAGTATTGGAGAGGTGTTCCCATCTTATGGACGAGAACACCAAGGATTGGTGAAGTTCAATAACTAGCTCTAACTCATACAAATTAGTAAATAGATCTAGATTTGAAGTTAGCGTGCAGGTCACCTCACACATCTTGAATGCAGATATATAATTTCAACATACTCTGTTTATTGTGTAACCTGGGGGTGGGTTATAAAATAGGGAGAAATAAAGGAAAGAAAGGGCAGGATGGTAGTGTTGACAGCCAGTAAGTTTGGTGGGTTGGATAGGTTGGAATCTGGGAGAACCATGCACACCCCTCCTTTGTTGCCCCCTGTTGATAGGAATGGGGAGAGGAACGTTAGTCTGATTTGGAGATGAAGCAATGGCCTTACGGAACCAGGGACCATTTCCCAGCTTATTAAAGGCGGGAGGGGGGTAGCAGCAGCAATACCATCTACCTCCATTGGAGGTACTTATTTCAGAGGAGCTAGGGGGAACGTGGTAGGTGTCAGGAGCAGGGACAGAGTTCCACCTCTGTCTCCCAGTGTGGTCCCCTCGTGTACCCATCAGATGTGTCTAGTGGGTCAGCCAGGAATTTCCACTGAGGATGGGGCAACTCAGGCCTTGGCTTTAGTACACACCTCCTTCTCTTGAAAGAGGGTGTTACCCTCCCCTCCCCAGGCACCACTAAGACCTGGAAGCTGACAAGGTAGATTCAATCATCATAGACTCTTGCTGACAACAAGGACATTGCCTGCACATCAATGCCCGAGTTATCCTCAGGTAATCACCCTTTCTATCCTGTTCCCACATGAGTGAGGGTGAAAGTTGCCTGTGGAGGCCAGAGCACAATCTTAGGTGTCATTTCCTCAGGTGCTACCTGGAGGAAGGATCTCTTATTGGCCCAGGGCACTCTGACTAGACTGGGTTGACTGGACACAGGCCCTAAGAACCTTCTTGTCTTCCCCTTCCCAACACTAGGATCACAAATTTTTTCTTAAATGAGGAACAAATTCACGTTCTAATGTTTGTCTGATTTCTCTCTACTGGCTGAGTTATCTTTCCTGCCCCATCTCTCTCTCATTTTGAAGTACAAGCTGTTATCTAAGGTGAGATGTGCAACTAATGCTATTGGTTCTCTCCAACTTCTACAGGATATGTGGGATATCCCTCACTTGAAGCTTCTTGAGTGTTGACTGTTTAGCTGCCCCAGGAAACAGAAAACCACCCTGTTCAACAGGAACTTTTTCACCTGCTCACCCTCTTTTGCTACCTGTTGTCCCTTTCCAAGTCCTTGTGATTATAGCTGCTGACTGGCTTAAAGGGTACACAAAGGGGCATCCTTGAAGCATCTTAGGGGCATTATACTCCCTGTGAGATCATGTTGTGGTGTGCTCCCTGTGAGATCAGGTGGAGTTGTGCTCCCTGTGAGATCAGGTTGGGGTACTGTTGATGCTGCATTTTTTAAAAATTATTTTATCTTCTGGGAATGGTTGCCCTGCTTAAATGTGTGTATGTGCACCGCATGCATGCTTGAT